GCTGGGTTAGGTAGAATGAAAAAACAGCAAGGCAGTAAGGTTGTAAAAAACTCAAGAAAACTACTCTTCTATTTTTCCTCTTATCTTTCTCATTTTCTTTCCTCATACTTTTCTGTTTTCTAGTTATGCTTAACTTTAAATAACTATTTTTTTAAATATATTTTATTGATTTTTTACAGAGAGGAAGGGAGAGAGATAGCGAGTCAGAAACATCGATGAGAGAGAAACATCGATCAGCCGCCTCCTGCACATCCCCAACTGGGGATGTGCCCACAACCCAGGTACATGCCCTTGACCGGAATCGAACCTGGGACCCCTCAGTCCGCAAGCCGACGCTCTATCCACTGAGCCAAACCGGTTTCGGCAGAAAGCAGGTCTAATTAAGCAAGTGTATCTATATATATAAAAGGCTAAGTTGACTCACTTTAAATGTATAGCATGTGCTATACATATAAAGCTCTTGCTGGCGCCAATCGCACACATGTGTTTTGATCTGTCATTGTTGATCGTGAATTTGGTTGATACTTCTATTATACAGAAAGGACGAATAGAGATATTAAAATATTTCTTCTAACTAATTTCCTCTCAATGTGTGTGAATTTGTGCACCGGGCCACTAGTATTAAAAGTAAATAAATAAAAAGGAACGAAGTACTGCCACCAGCCACAACATGGGTGAACCTTGGCATCATTATACTAAGTCAAAGAAGCCAGTCCCAAAAGGTTGCATTTTGTATGATGTCATTTGCATGAAGTGTCCAGAATAGGCAAATCCATAGAGACAGAAAGCACATTAGTGGTTGCCAGGAAGCTGGGCAAGAGGAGGATGAAGAGTGACTCAGTGGTACAGTGTTTCCATTTGGAGTGATGAGAAGGTTCTGGAACTGGGTTGTGGTGATGGTGGCATAACATTATGAATATACTTAATGCCACTGCATTGCATGATTTAAAATGGTAAACTTTACATCACACATATTTTGCCACACACACACACACACACACACAAAAGATAGATCTCCACGTCCAGGAATATTGATTTGATGGGTATGGATACGGCCTGGGTGCCGGGACTGTGCACAGAGCCCAGCTCCCTGCGTTGCAGAGAAGCTGTGACTTGCCCGGGGGTCACACAGATTCTCGGTGGTGGAGCAGGTGAGCAGCACATGTTCCTCCCTCCAGGGAGTCACAGCTCTGCCCCCTTCGTCCCCAGCGCTGGCTGTTTCTTTGGTGACGAGGTGAGGGTCAGTGGCGATTCCTGCGCACCAAGCGACACGGATGCCTCCTCGGAAGCTGAGAGACCAGGGCCTGAGCAGCCTGTCCCTGCAGAGTCTCCGGAAAGTCCCGGCAACTCCAAGGGCAGCTCGGCTTCAGGCCCAGCCACCACCAAGACCGCAGAGCATGCCTTGGAGGGTGCCAGCCCAGCTGATCACACCCCAGGGCCTGAGCCTCGCCCCGGCCAGGCCTCCACCCCTGCCGAGCTGCCCTGGACCAGTATCGACCTGAAGGAGCCCAAGAGAGCGCCCGGCCACTCCGCTGAGACCACCGGCCTCTCCTCACTGGAGATGCTCCCGCTGGGCTTGGAGGAGCCCTACTGCGCTGACGACCACCCGCTGTGGGTCTGGGTGTCAGGAGGAGGCTGTGCCGTGGAGGCCCACACTGTGCTCAAGTGGTTCACCGCCCAGTCGGGTAAGAGGGTGCTGCCCTGTGCTTGCCATTCTAGGCGGGACTGGGGGACATGAGGGAGAAGGATGAGGGGAGGGCTCGTGTGCATTTTAGGGAGATCATAGCTCTCTAGCAAGAAAGGGCTGATTTAAAAACAAAACCCTGGCCTGCTGCACAGCTGTGGGCGGGCCAGACACCTGGCCCTGAGGCTCTGGCCGGCCGCAGGCCTGTCTTCCTCCATGCAGACACTGTCCCTGTCCATCACGCCGGCCCAGACCGCCGCCTGGCGGAAGCAGATCTTCCAGCAGCTGACGGAAAGGACCAAGCGGGAGCTGGAGAACTTCCGACATTACGAACAGGCCGTGGAGCAGGTGGGCGGGCGCCGGCGCACTGTTTCTTACCGGCATTTACTGAGTGTCTATGTATACCGGCCCCAAGGTGAGGTGGGAGAGACAGACAGACGGATGCCTGCATCCCTCTGCCCATCTCTCTCGATGGGAAGCCTGCCCTTCTTGTAGATTCCAGAATGAAAAACAAGTTCGTTCCTTTATTCGTCCACCCCAAAGGCCTCTGTCAGGCCCCACTGGGATGCAGGCCCAACGTAGACCCTGGGACCAGAGACCACAGCAGTCCCAGTAGGTGGTGTGGTGGGAATCACGCTGTGCTCTCCCTGCAGGGGGGGCCCCCACGTGCCCGATGGTGCAGTGTTTTATTCAGAACTGAGGACAGGATTGAGGGTAGTCTCGGGCCCCTCAGGCCGAGCCCAGCCCCTAGAGGTGGGAATTACATGAAGGACTCAGCTGGGTTCATGCAGAAGACCCGGCTGTGTCTCGAATGGTGGTGCAGAAGCATCTCCCGATGCCGGCAGGCGGGCAGGGTGTGCGCCAGCTGTGCCACTGGCTCACTCTGTGACGTAGGGGCAGGCACAGACTCTCCCCAGGCCTCCGTTTCCCCACCCAGAACAAGGGGTGACTGTGACCCCACAGGCTGTTCTGTGCAGCTGACACTGGCTTGTGGCCTGGCCCCTGTTGGGGTTCGATAGTGTCCCTAGTCGTTAGGGTGAAGTGGGGGAGCTGGGAGCACTGGGCGGGAGTCCCCTGTGAGGTGGCGAAGGGACTGGGGCCAGGGTAGCCCTGGGGCGCTGGGAACTGGGCACACGCAGGGCCCAAGTTGGGGACCCAGGGGCCTGCCTGTGACAGTCCCTCACCTCCGGGGCCTGTGCTGCAGTCCGTGTGGGTGAAGACAGGGGCCCTGCAGTGGTGGTGCGACTGGAAGCCCCACAAGTGGGTGGACGTCCGCGTGGCCCTGGAGCAGTTCACGGGGCACGACGGGGCCCGGGACAGCATCCTCTTCATCTACTACGTGATCCACGAGGAGAAGAAGGTGCGGGGAGGGGCAGGCGGAGGGGTGCGGGTGCCCGGGGGAGGCGGGTGCAGGAATAGGCCTGGGACGCTGGCCCCGAGGTGCCCAGCCCAGGACAGCGTCTGGCACCTACAAAGCCCCAGCCCCCGTGGCAGAGTCCCCGTCAGTGGCGGGCAGGCGTTGGTGGCCCGCAGAGCCGTCTCCCAGGTCTGACGCTGACAGGCTCCCCTGTTTCGTGAGAAGTCAGGCTCACAGAGATAAAGCCACCCCTCCCCCAGGGGTGGGTCTGAACCAGTCAGCCAGCCTCACCTTGCCATCAAAAGTGAAACCCGGCATCTGCTCACGAGCTGGGCTTCCATGCTGGGACTCCCAGAGCCACCCAGGTCCCAAGGACCGGCCCTGTGGAAAGGGGGCCACCCAGGCTAACCCTGTCCATCAGTGACAGCCTCGCCGTTGCCCTCTGTGTGCAGTACTTGCACGTGTTCCTCAATGAGGTGACGACGCTGGTCCCCGTGCTCAATGAGGACAAGCACTCCTTCGCCATGTACACCCCCGAGAGGACCCGGCAGAGGTGGCCTGTGCGTCTGGCTACTGCCACCGAGCAGGACATGAATGACTGGGTGAGTGGGCAGTGGCCCCACAGGCCAGGGGTCAAAGGGCAGCAGACTCAGGGCAGCCCAGCCTTGGCCTGCTGCCCGTCCCCTTCCCAGTGGTGACTGCCATCTGCCCACGCCAGCTGGCCCTGCTCAACCTGTCCTGCTGTGAGAGCCGGAGGGTCCTTGGCCGCCCCTCCCTGCAGGCCATCTGGTCCATCACCTGCAAGGGCGACATCTTCGTGAGTGAGCCCAGCCCGGACCTGGAGGCCCCTGAGCACCCGCTGCCCTGCGACCAGATGTGAGTCCACCCTGGCCTGGCCACTCCCACCCCGCAGCCAGCGCTGAGGTTTCACGAGGAGGGGCCCCAGCAAGACACACGGCCTCGCTTCCAGCTGCCAGCCACACGGCCAGCTGGTTCTCGGGCCCGGGTCTGCCTGGGCCTGTGCGAAGACCCTTCCCGGGGGGCATCCGGGAGGGTCACCCCGCTGAACAGTTTCTGTGTCAGAGTGAGGGGATGGCTCTGCAGGTGGCATTTAAACCAGGAGGTGGAATGAGGCCACCCACTGGGGCAATGTGATAGTCTGGGGCACCCACCCTTTTGGTGGGGACATGGTGCTCCCGATTCTGTCCCCAAAAGGTCACCCAGAGCCAGGGAGGACCAGGGAGACACGCGACTAGGAGGGCCTGCCCAGGAGAGGAGTGGCCGTGTCTGTCTGCCCTTAGCTGATCCACTCGCATCTGAAAGAGTCAGATCCCCTCTGGTGCCAGTGGCGGGGCCTTGGCCACAGGAGTTTGACCAGGTGGCAGCCGCACCCTGCACTCTGCCTCCCAGAGGGCCCCACCGTCAGGGCAGCAGTGTAGGCATCGCAGGCTCGCGTGGCTCATCCAGCCTATGGGACGACCCTGCTCCCTGCCTACACTCTTGTCCCAGGCCCCAGGGCTCCAGGGGGGAGGCTGGAAGGCCCTGCTGGGTCGCTTCCCCGCCCTCTCTCCCCTCCTCCCAGGTTCTGGCGGCAGATGGGCGGCCACCTGCGGGTGGTAGAGGCCAGCAGCCGGGGCGTGGTGTGGGGCATTGGCTACGACGGCACAGCCTGGGTGTACACAGGTGGCTACGGAGGAGGCTGCTTCCAAGGTGAGGGTGGCCCGCCCCCGAGGCTGGCAAGCCTGGCTCCCGCCCTGCACAGCCTTCCTAGCAGTTCCCTCTAGTCCCTCTGGCTCCCCGCCCCACGCCAGAGCCGCCGTCCCCGTGTTGACACTCAGTTGGCAACCAGGTGACAGGTGACCTTCAGCACTGCCAGCCTCTGCAGAGGACGTTCCTGGGCCAACCCGGGGGCATGACAGCCCGGAGACCAGGCCTCGAAGGCTCTAGAAAGGCAGCCACCGAGGCCCCCACCATGTCCAAGCCCTCGTTTCATAGACGAGCTCAGGCACATGGGGCAGCCCAGCACCTGGGTCCCCTGATTCCCAGGCCCAGGTTCTAGCTCCTCGTTAGGTGGGTTGTGCCTCGGGCTGAGAGCCCCGTGCGCTCCCCCAGCTCTGGGAGGCAGGGGGCTCTTTCTCCTCCTGGGAAGGGGAGCAGAAACAACACCGGGACGGGGCACACCATGTGAGTCCACGCCCCGTGCCGGGGGGGGGCTGATGCTGTAGAGCTGGGTGTCCACTGAGACCACGGGCCGCACCTCACGGAACTAACAGCATCCATGCTGCTGAGGCAGGCAGTGCCTTGGTCCCCGTTTCACCAAGGGGGAAATTGGGGCTCCTGGAGGTTATTGATGTTAGCAGGGGGTGAGCTGGTTGGGCCTCTCACCTGCCCAGTCCAGGTAAGTGGGATGGTGAGGGTCAGAGGTGCAGCCAGAACAGAGTGTGAGGCGGCGGAGCTGGAGGGGGTGTGGATGGGTGCCTAGCGGGTTCTTCTCACCAAGGTTATGTGAACCCAGAACAGAGACCCCGCGGGCCGGGCCCTGCCAGATAGGCTCAGCAGGCCTGTGAGCCCCTCTCGGCTGACCTTCAGCCTGACCTCCCCACCCAGTCTCAGGGGCCTTTGGGGCCCAGCGGGCAGGTGCAGCCCACGGCCTGGCAGCCTCCTCTCCCCCCAGGCCTGGCCAGCAGCACCGGTAACATCTACCCACAGTCAGATGTGAAGTGCATCTACATCTATGAGAACCAGCGCTGGAACCCCGTCACGGGCTACACCAGCAGGTGAGCACGCAGCGTGGATGCCGCACCAGCTGCTGTGGGGGCTTCCAGGTGCGACCGGCCCAGGCCACAGTCTGACAAAACAGGGCAGCCACGGCCAAGGTGGTGATGCAGCGTGAGAGCTGGAGTCCGGCCCCGCCGTGGGCTCACCGAGCTTTTCTTCTTGTCTTTACATGTAAGGAAGATTTAGCAACCTACTTGAGAGGCACAACATACATGAAATGCACAACACGTAAATGTACACACAATGAGCTACAGGTCGATCTGTCTGTATGTAGACCAGTTCATCCATAGATAGGGGGAGAGAGAGGGGGCTTCCCGCCCTCACGGTGGCCACAGCCCTCAGTGGATTGCAGGCCAGGCCCCCTCATGATGTGGGGTCACCCCAGTTGTGGTCCCAGACCTGGGGCAGTTCACCCCTTCGGAGGTGCAGTGGTCCCAGTGTGTGTCCGTCACTGGCCAGTGTCTGGGTGGGACAGGCTGTTCTTGCCTCTCGAGTCACACAGAGACACACACACACACCCCGCCTTGTCCTGCCGCAGGGGTCTGCCCACTGACCGGTACATGTGGAGCGATGCCACGGGGCTGCAGGAGTGCACCAAGGCGAGCACGAAGCCCCCCTCCCTTCAATGGAGCTGGGTGAGTTCCAGCAGTGGGGCGGGCAGGGGTTGGAGTGGAAGGTCTGCCTGCACTGACCCATCCCTTCCCCAGGTTTCAGACTGGTCCGTGGACTTCAGCGTTCCTGGGGGTACTGACCAAGAGGGGTGGCAGTATGCCAGTGACTTCCCTTCGTAAGTATCGCTCTCTCTCTCCTCTCTCTCTCTCTCTCTCGCTCTCTCTCTCTCCCTCTCTCTCTCTCTCTCTGCATGGGGAGGCCCTCAGGGGCTGCCCTGAGCAGCAGGACTGGGGGTGTGGCCCAGCCGGACCCTCCACCCTAGCAGTGGCCTCACCACCCTGCCAGGCAGAGCCCTGCCCTCTGCCCCCCACCCCCCAAGCACCTGGGCATAGAGGAGGAGCAGACCCTGTGTGCCTGCCTCAGCTGCCCGCAGGGTTTGGAGAGATGTGGAGGGGCCCAGATGGGCCCAGGGAGGATGCCATGGCTCCTTCGACACCGGGTTGTGTCTGCCCAGCAGGTGTGGGAGGGCCAGCTGCGTGCCTGGTTCACCAGCTGAGGGGTCTAGGGAGCTTTGGGCCAGCAGGAGGCTGTGTCAGAGGGGGCGGGACAAGGAGAAGTGGCTGACAAGCCTGCCGGGCTGGGCTCCCAGGCCTTCAGGGAACACAGTCATGGGTCAGAGTGGGGGACGGAGCTGGAGAGCCCAGCCAGGCCCGAGCCCTGTGAGCCGACCAAGGAGGTGACGGTGCCAGAGGCCTCGGCCTTTGGCTTGACTGTTCCCAGGAGGGCTCTGGTGGGGCCTGGGGTGGCGAGGGGCAGAGCTCCCTTAGCTAGAACCCCTGGTCAGGCAGCTGCCATGTCCTGGCCCTGGGAGACCCCAGCCAGGCAGGAGGTGTCTGAAGGAGGAGCATCGTGTCCTGTGATACCTGCTCCCTCTGAGCCCACTCCACAGCTCACAGGCTCCGAGCCCTGTACCGATGGAGAGGGGGTGTGTGTGCATGTGTGTGCATGTGTGCGCAGTGTCACTTTCCCCGAAGTGGTCTCGATTTCAGCTTCTTCTTCCTCTTTCAGCTCATATCACGGGTACAAAACCATGAGGGATTTTGTCAGGAGGAGGTGCTGGGCCAGGTAAAGACTGAGCACAAGGTAGCTGGGGGTGTGGCCTGGCCCCTCGTCCTGGTCCCTTCCAGGCCAGACCCCCCTCCTCCGACCTCAGTCCCCTGGAAGGAACAGGGAGGCCATGGGGAGGGAAAACAGAATCAAAGTAAATGTCAGCCCAGGAAGTGCCCGCGGCTCCCAAAGCTCTTATTTCTGGAGAGTTTGCTTTCAAGAACAAATAAGAGAAATGTCATTGGCAGCCTCTGCTTGTAGGCAGGACAGGAGGCCTGGCTGGGGGAGGGAGCGGCCGGGGCAGGAGGGTGGGGCCACCCATCCAGGAAGGGGTGCCCACCCAGGTGCAGGGGTGGGTGGGGTGTCCTGCCCTCCCCAGGGTCCCACGGAGGCTGCCTTGGGAGAAGGGCAACCCACTGCTTCCTCCTGAGCCTCCAGGTGCCCAGGGCAGGCGGCCTGAGGCTGGCAGCAGCATCTGGGTGCCCAGGTGCCCAGGGTTGTGCCCTCTCCACTTACAGAAAGTGCAAGCTGGTGACCAGCGGGCCCTGGCTGGAAGTGCCCCCCATTGCCCTCAGGGATGTGTCCATCATCCCCGAGAGCCCGGGCGCCGACGAGAGTGGACACAGCATCGCACTCTGGGCCGTCAGTGACAAGGGGGACGTGCTGTGCCGCCTGGGTGTGTCCGAGCTTAACCCCGCGGTGAGCACCCCAGTCCTTGCCTCTGGGGAGCACTGGCCTGCCCACCTGTGGTCACTTGTGGGGTTTGGACAGATTGTTCCAGAAATAGGACTCTTGCTGAGGCGTTGGGCTAGGTGTGGGCCCTCCCAGGGGTCGCCAGGCTCTGTGGGCAGTTGGAACCGAGGATGAGGTTGGCGTGAGGAGCCATCAGCTCCTGGACCCGGGGCTGGGGTGGCAGAGGCTGGGCCAGGCAGCCCTCAGTGCCTCCTCACTCGGTCTCCAGGGCGCCTCCTGGCTGCACGTGGGCACCGACCAGCCCTTCGCCTCCGTCTCCATCGGGGGCTACTGCCAGGTGTGGGCCGTGGCGAGGGACGGCTCTGCCTTCTACAGGGGCTCCGTGTCCCCCTCCAAGCCGGCTGGTGAGTGCCACCTGCCCTGGAGGGGATGGGGCTGCCAGCGAGGCTGCAGGCTGACGGCCCCTGGCTGCCCCCTCACTCAGCAAGCCCGTGGTGAAAGCAGCCTGCGGACCAGCTGCTGGGCACAGCCAGGATCCCGAGGCCACGCCCCTTCCCTGCAGCTGCTCTGCACCATCCTGGCCTCCTGCCAGGGCAGCTGGTGGTGGGCGCTTTTAGGTGCCTTGCAGGTCCTGCCCGCCAGGGGACAGGCCTGTTGGGACGCTCCTGGGGTGGCCCCGCTCGGCCCACTCCACAGTGGCCACTCCTCAGAGGGCACCCTAGGCCGGCGTGTTCTTGACTGGATGTCTGGACAGTGTCTGGCATGGGGGAGGGTGGCACTGGAATGGACGGATGAAGAGGTGGTGGCTGGTGTGTCGTGCCCTCCACATGGGGCTGAGGGCCTTGGGTTTGCGTAGCAGCTGCAGGGCTGGCTCTTGCCCACATGCCGGGCTGGGCACCATGTGTCCCTATGTGTGAGACCGGCCCCTCCAGCCCCATCTGAAACCTGCCCCAGCCTCTTTTGGGCCTTGAGAGAGACCAGGGTGTTGGAGGTCAGCAGGGCATGGCCCCCACCCACCCTGGGAGCTGCAGAGGAGACCGGGGGCCCCAAGTGCCTGGGTCACAGGTTCGGTGCTTCCCAGGCGCCTCCAAGTCCGACCTCCCTTGGCAGGTGACTGCTGGTACCACATCCCATCTCCTGCCAAGCAGCGGCTGAAGCAGGTGTCTGTGGGCCAGACGTCCGTGTACGCCGTGGATGACAATGGCAAGTTGTTCCTGGTCCCCAGTGGTCACCAGGGGGGTTGGGGTTCTCTGAGCACCCCGATGGGATGAGACTCTCACCAGCCCCCAGGTCCCTGACACAAGACCTACGTCAGCCACCAGGAGAGGCCCAAGGTCGGCCTCCAAACAGGTCCCTCCCCCGTGTTCCCCAGCGGGGGGGACCCGGCCCTCCCCCCGGTGGTCAGCCCTGCCTGGGCCGAGGGCATGGTGCCAAGGCCTGGGTGACGCTGCATAGCAGGGCCTGTGACCAGCGCTGCCTCCGGCGCCTCCGTCACTCCCGTTCCTGTGGCGCCGTTGTCCTGGCTGAGCAAGGCCAGGAAGGACAGAGACTGGCCGGGAACCCAGGCTCCAGTTCCAGGCCGTCCTCTGTCTGTAAAGAATGCCTTGTCCTCAGTTTCTCATGCGTAGAAAGCAGAGGGGGTGGCAGCCCGGCCCAGCGGCACAGTGGCACTGGGTGTGGGGCGGGCAGAGCTGGTCCTCTGGGCTTCTCTCTCCTCGCTCTTGTTTGCAGATCATCTTGGCCCTCGGGAACTATATGAACAGCAGTAAACGAGGAGCAGTTTATGGATTTAAGCTTCAGAGTTTAGATCTGGTGAGTGGACCCACTGGCTTCGCAGACCCTGCGGTGGATCCCAACGCCCTGGGCCTCACCGTGGGTCACACCTTCTCTCCCCAGGGAACTTGTGGTACCGCCAGGGGGTCACGCCCAGCTACCCGCAGGGCTCCAGCTGGGAGCACGTGTCCAACAATGTGCGCCGAGTGTCCGTGGGGCCCCTGGACCAGGTCAGGGGCTCGGGACAGGCTGATACTCGCTCTGGGGTTGCGGTCTGAGGGGCTCGGGTGCCTGCTCTGGTCTCCCTACTGCCGTCCCTGCGGTGCCACAGCCAGGGCTGGGCCTTCAACAGGTCTGTGTTCCAGGTCTGGGTCATCGCCAACAAAGTCCAGGGCAGCCACAGCCTGAGCCAGGGAACCGTGTGTCACCGCACAGGCGTGCAGCCTCTGGAGCCCAAGGGGCAGGGCTGGGACTACGGCATCGGGGTGAGTGAGCCGGCGGGGATGGCTGCTGGGCCAGGGCTGCCTGGTCACGTTGTACGTGCTCCCCGACGGGCTGGGGCCTGGCCTGGGGTTGGTGGGAGACCCGGGCATTCCCTCAGGAGACCTTGGGCCCCAGCGTCTGGAAGGAGGGCCTCTGCCCCTGTGGCCCCAGTGACGCAGCTCTCTCCTTCAGGGCGGCTGGGACCACATCTCCATCCGGGCCAATGCCACCAGGGCCCCCAGGAGCGCGTCCCAGGAGACGGCTGGCGAGCAGGGCCTCCCCAGCGGGCCCTCGAGTGTGGCCGGTGCCCTGCAGGAGGCCGTGGGTCCCGTCTGCTGCTGAGCCACCTCCCTCGCCTTGCGGGTTCCGTCTGAAGAATCAGCGCGGCCCATGAGCCTTCGCTCGGAATGAGCCGCTCTGTGCTGAAATGCGGGTCCTGGCGTGGCTTGCCGGGACCTGGCCTGAGGTCACAGCTCAGGCAGCAGAAACAGCCCAGAAATGTGAAGCCTGTGGACGTTCCCCACACTGTCCCTGTCAGCAAGGAGGGCGCTGGTGTGGAGTGGGCGCCCTCACCCGGCCTCTCCCACCCATCCAATCCCCCTCTGCCTCCCGCCTTTCCAGGGCGGGAACCTAGAGCCTGGAACCTTCCAGGAGGGCTGGCCCCTGGGAAAGCTGAGCCCACAAAGAGCGCCCGGTGGTCCAGGGGGTCCAAACGCAGACATAGCTGAGGGCTCAGGGCTGTGGCCCACGCTGTGGTCGTTTCTCAGCACGGGACTTGCAGATACGATCTCATTCCAAAGGTCAAGGGCGGAGTTGGCAGGTCCGAAATAAATGCTGGGGAGGTGTCACCTTCCCCAGGTGGGCATGGGCCCCCGGGGTGGACAGGACCGAGGGGCCTGGGAGAAGCGGAGTGCTCAGCGGGCCCCTCCCCGATGGGGCTGGGGGTTGGGGCATCTTTTACTTGTGATCATGTTGCAGGGGAGGGCAGGGTGGAGGCGGAGACCAGCCAGGTGGTAGGAGGGCACCTCCCCCTTGGTGAAGGCCCCGGTTTGCTTCCACAACCAGTCCAGAGCTCGGAGTTGCTCCCACCCTCGGGTCCCATTGGTGGGTCGTCCTGGCCACCACACGCCTTCCTGAGTAGCCGCACCTGAGAGCAGTCCAGGCGCACGTGGGCCCCACCTGGCCCGGCGGAAGGACGGCTGGGACGGTGGAGCGTGACCACATAGCCCTTCCCAGGGGCTTCCCCCGCAAGCTGGCAGGAGAGTGCAGTACCTCCTTCGGGGTGCCCTCCCCGGGGACATATGAGGGTGCCAGCAGCCTCTGCATTTGCAGGTGGGACCAGGAGGCGTGAGTCGGCCCAGGGCCCAGAGGGGCCGTATGGGGTTGCCGGTCTCGGTCTGTTTACATCCCTTCGTCAGGGTCTGCGTGGGCATTAAGGTTCATCTACAGCAGCTGCTGTCCTCGCTGTGCGTCCCCGTGGCTGGTCTCACCCTGCCCTCCCTCTAGGGACCCTGTGTCCTCCCTGCTGAGCACCACTGAGTCCCAGATGCTTTATTCAATTAAAACTTACACCAGAGTGTGGTGGCGAGACTTTTTTGTGGTTACAACCGTGTACGACGCACAGTTTCCCGTGCTGGAATGCAAACTGCTGTGAGATCTTTTATTTTCGTTTTGTGACACATCAATTTCATGAGTACTTTGAAGGGGCCATTAGGGAAAATAAAAACCAAATTTGGGTCATTTAAGAAACGTTTTCACCACAATTACCACCCGGGCCGTTCCGTCCAGGGGTTTTCCCGGGCAGAGAAGTGGACGTTCTGGTTGCTCCGCCCATGGCTTTCGCCTCAGGGCTGTCTGGTCTGCAGGCAGGTCCACGGCCCAGGAGGGGGCCAGGCGCCAGGGCTCCTCCAAGGACAGGCGAGTCCCGCTGGGCTGCGGGTCCACAGTGAGGGTCGAGGGAGCAGACTCAGCAGCAGGCCTCTGACCAGACCTGTTCCCTCGCGCCCCCGTAGTTAACACCCCCAAAGCGGAACTGAGACCTTTAGAAACCCTTCGTGATGTGGCCACGGGGCGTGCAAGTGCCCTCCGGCCTCTGGTGAAGGACTGGCATGTGGGCCCGGGTCACCCTCTGGGGAACAGAGGAGATGCAGGTGCACGTCTGGGACCGAGAGCAAGAGCCCCCACGCTGTCCTCCTACAGGGCGGTGGCGCAGGCCCTCCCATGCCCGCCACGCTCTCCCGGGCAGAGGGCACTGCTGGGCTCCCTCCTGTGCTTCTGGCTGTTTGTCAGTTCGCTCAGCAAGTTCAGGGGCAGACGGAGCCCTGCTCTGGCCTTGGCTCAGCCAGGACAAGAGCCACCAGGTGTGTGGGCCTCACCTGTTGTGTTCAGCCAGCAGGCCGTCAGCAGGGTCGCTGGACCCCATCGGTCCCGAGCTCGGAGTTGCTCTCCACCTCAGGTCCCATTGGTGGGTTGTCCCGACCGCCACTCACCTTCCCCAGCAGCCACGCCTGACAGCAGTCCAGGCGCACCTGGGCCCTCACCTGACCAGCGCTGAAGGCTCCCAGGGCCACCTTCCAGAGGGGCCTGCACTGGGGCCTAGGGAGGGCCCGGCCAGTGTCTGACCAGGTAAGTGGCCACTGGCTGTTCTGAGGGGTGCCACCCTCTGTCCTTGGTGCTGCCAGGGCTGACACACAGCCCAGGGACGCATGAAATGGCTGGGCCTGGACTACCCGGCTTGACAGTGAGGGCACGCATCAGGAACAGGTCCTGGGCTGTACAGCCCACTCCCCGCCCAGCCATCCCCCATGTGCAATGCCCAGGAGGGCCGGCAGGGGACTGGGCCCCACGTGCCAAGCCAACTCTACCCTCACCCCAGCCCTTGTCACTGTGGTTCCGGCCTGAGGCTGCCAAGGGCCCTGCCCCCTCCCCATGTTGGCTGTGGGCTGGAGGACAAAGTCGCCGAGCCTGCTGAAGCCAGCGGGGCAGGAACACAGAAGGAAGCTTGGCCCAGGGCTGCGGAGACTTGCCAAGATGCCAGTCCTGTCTTCGCAGAGCAGCACCGGTGGGGGAGGGAGCTCCTGCCACCCAGGCTCTCCCAAGGGCGCCCCACAGAGCCCCCAACCCCAACCAGGACCCAACATCCTAAAGTCCTAACAGACCACACCGTCAGCACAACTATGACAACGAGCGGCAAACCTGGGTGGGACCCGAGGGAGGCGTGGGGACACAACCTCCCCAACGGGCCGGGGCTGAGGCCCAGCCTCCCAGCGGAGCAGAGCCCAGTGGCCTCTCTCCCGTCCTGCCCCTGCCCCTCAGCACGAGGCCACAGACCCTCTGACCCGCTCAGCCCCTCCGCAGTCAGGAGCCCCCAGCACAAGAGGAGGCAGGAAAAGGTCCCAGCCCCTCGGGACGTCCCCTCGGAAGGTCCCTTTCCAGTTCCTTTGAGGTCGTCGGATGAGGGGTTCAGTCTAACACAGATGCTGAGCTCGCTTCCACCATCTTGGCTCAGCCACACTCCCCAAGTGGCCCTGAGCTGTACTTGCTTTGTGCCTCAGTTTACCCCGAGTGAGGAGGCTCTGATGCAGGTTGGAGGCGGTCCCTTCCTGGGCCTGGGCTTCAGGAGTGACTGGGGAAACTTACCCAGGACGCCTTTCCCGGGGACCTCCCTTGCTTCAGGAGGGAGCCAGCCGAGAGGAGAATCTACCTACAAAGGCCTGTCAACTCCTGTCCAGTCAATGGAAAAACAGGTCCGGGGACCCACGTGCTCCATCCAGAAAGGCAGCGGAGTGTTCAGGGAAGATGAAGCCGCGGGGGCCATGTCCACGTGGGGATGTCGCCACCAGCCTGGGGCTCCTGGCGGGCCCAGGGCGAGTGCTAGGAGCCCTCCCGGAAGCTGTGGATCTGTGTGGAGTACTTGTGCAGGTGGCCCTCGGGCTGGGCCTCCGGGGCCCCCAGGGCGCCCCCGGCCGCCTGCTGCTGCTGGTAGTGCTGGTAGAGCTTAGGGCCAGGTCCCTCCAGGCCCGGGAGGCGACCGCTGGACATGGTCAGGATGGTGGCCGTCAGCGACTTGATGTAGTTCTTGGCCAGCGTGAGGGTCTCGATCTTGGAGAGCTTCTTGTCGGCGCGCACGTGCGGGATGACCTCGCGCAGCGCC